TCTACGAGGATGTGGCCAGAGACACAAACAGGTAAGGACAGGCGGGGCAACTGGGGGGAGGGGTTTTAAAGGAGATTCCTTAAGTTCACCTAGGAAAGTCCCAGACCTTGGAAATCTTCATGTCCACTGGGCGTGATCTGGAATGTTTTCTATGGAAACCCTTGTGGTCAAAGATCCATGTCCAAAATGATTTCCGCTTTGCCTTTTTGCCCAGCCCTCTGATGCCCTCGAAACCTGTAGCACAGTCCCGCTCGGCAAACTATAACCCTAATCAAACAGATCAAGGTAAATGGGTGAATGCTCTTGAATTCCATGTTACAGAGCAAGGATTCGATGGAACCAATCTCCCCATGTGGGAAAAAAAAGGCAGGAGGGGTGGAATATAACAGAGCTGGGGAAAATGCAAAGTGTACCCAAAATGGTTGTGGGTTTTTCGGGCTCTTTGGCCGTGTTCTGAAGGTTGTTCTTCCCAACGTTTTGCCAGTCTCTGTGGCTGGTATCTTCAGAGGACAGGAGTCAGAACTCTGTGCTCTGGTGCAGTTTGCTTGGGAGTTGAGTATTTATAGCTGTGAGATCAGCTTTTGTCCTTTTCAGGAGATGGCTGATTATGGTGATCAATGTGTTTTTGTTGTGGGTGTATTGTTGTGATAAGGAGGAGAGATTATGTGTCACTGTGATTGACAGTGGAAACTATAACTGGAGGCACAAGGACCAGGGATCATTGCACAAAAAAGACCAGCTAAACACAGTAATCAATCTGGTGCTCCCATACTTTTTGGTGGTGGTGGTGGTGGTGGGGTGACCATGAAGACTCTTCAGTAATTACAGAAAATGAAAGCTTCCAGGGTGTGAGGTTTGGTGTCTGTTTCCTTTCCAGATGGCCGTTGCAAACGTAGGCCTCCCAGCCGTTCACTTTTTGGTGAGGGGTGTTTGCTCTTCTCACTTCTGTAGTGAAAAAAGCAAGAAGACCAGTGTCTGTCCCAGGAGGCTTCCTCTCTAGAGAACAAGAATAAGAGACAACACAAATGAAGGCCAGGAAAGGGGATGAGATTTCAGGGCCGAGATGCTTATAGACAGCAGAAGCAGCACCAGGTCCAGAGCCTTTCCCAGTCCAGAGCTGCTGGAAATTAGGTGGGGTTCCCCTTCCGCTTCTGCTGCCACGGTGGCTCAGATCCTCTCTCAGTTTCCTCCTTGTCTGGCCTTTCCCCTCCTTTACTCCTGCCAGCAGAGCCATCCTGCCAGCTGATCCCTCGGTCTGCCGATCTCCAGAACAAAGGATTCCAGTGGCACAAAACAGTCTTTTCTTTCCCAAGCAGAAAGGGTGTCTGTCCTGTTCTGAAGCCCATACAGGCAGCCCACCATTGAGTAGGACTGCACTGTTCATTACTTAGGTTTGGTTAAAGCTTAGAATCCTAGAATCACAGAGTTGGTGGTGGTGGGATCTATAACACCATGGAGCCCAACCCGCCGCTCCGTGCAGGAATCCAGATCAAAGCAGATCTGGCAAAGGGTGGTCCAATTTTCTCTCGAAGGCCTCACAGCGTTGTAGTGCTCACTACCTCCCCATTGGGGTCACTGGTTCCATTGTTGTACTGCTCTAACAGTTAGGAAGTTGTCCGTGATACTCAGCCAAAATCTCACTTTGCGTGGCTTGAGTGCGTTTCGCCTTGTTTCTCCTCTTTGGGATGATGGAGAACAGATCCTGTCCCTCCTCTGGAGGACAGCCTTTCAAGTCTTTGAAAAGTGCTGTCAGATCTCCCCTCGGTCTTCTTTACTCACGGCTAAATATGCCCGGTTCTTTCCATCCTGGTTTCCAGGCCCCTGATCCTCCTTGTCACCCTCCCTCTGAACTTGCTCCAGGTTGTATGCAACTCTAGAGACTGAGGGGCACGTTTGCACCAAAAGCTCCACAGGGACCAAGAGGACTGGGGGTGTGTCGATTCTTTGCCTGCCCCATAGCTTGGTTTGTCCCTCTAGGCTGCTCCTCTAGGTCACTCAGAAGCTCCATATAGTCCAGAGGAGGGTTGCTTGGGAAGTCATGGAGGGCTTTGGAAGAGAGAGAGAGAGAGAGAGAGAGACGGAGAGAGGGATGGAGAGAGAAGGAGCAGACCAGGTCCCTTCTGGTTCTTCAAACACTGGAAAATGGAGACCCAGCAGAGAAGGGATGGAGGGTTAGCAAAGGCAGAGTCAAAGGTGACAGTAGCATCCTCAGCAGAAGTAACGAACCCTCCATGGGATGTGTGACATGGAAATGAGTGCTCCAGCACTGGAGGCGCTCATAATCCCCTGGCAGATCTGCTCTGATGGTCTTCCTGCCTTGAGCGGGGGTGGGGTGGGGGGTGGACTGGATGGCCTTTTAGGCCCCCTTCCAACTTCCACTTTCCTAGGATTCTATGAAAACCCTGAAAGAGCCGTCATGGTTCACTTATCACCCGAGCTAAAGCTGTCTTTAAATTGCGGAGATGTTTGACCTGTCGGGTTTTTCTTTTCTTTTCATTCTTTTCTCCTTTCCTTTTTCCTCCTCCCCCCCCACCACTTTTCTTTAAATGCCCACAGCATTTAAAGAAAATATTTAGGAACAAAACATTGAATATACAAAGGTGGCATACATCAGGAGAAAGAAATATTTAAAGCTAAGAACACTTTAAGTATAGGAATATTAAAAAGGAACAAACAAATAGCCCTCTTAGAAATGGGTAACTCAAACAATACTTTAAAAAAAAACAGTCAATGCAGGAATGCATTTAAAAAATCCATCTAAAAAGATCACACTCAGGGAGCCCCAATCACCATGGGAGAGCGTGCCTGGAGAGAGAGAAGAGTAACTCAAGCAATACTTTAAAAAAAACCAGTCAACGCAGGAATGCATAAAAAAATCCATCTAAAAAGATCACACTCAGGGAGCCCCAATCACCATGGGAGAGCTTGCCTGGAGAGAGAGAAGAGTGTTCTTCGCCTGCTTGCAGAAGGACAGCCAAGACGGGGCCAGCCTGGCCTCCAGTGGCAGGGAGTTCCACAGTCCCTGGGAGCTGCCACAGAGAAGGTCCTCTCCCGTGTCCCCATCAAAGGTGGTGGGACAAAGAGAAAGGCCCCCCCTGGTGATCTCAGCCCCTGGGCAGGCTCATAATAGGAGACACGGCCTTTGAGATGGTTTGGACTCAAGCCGTTTCGGGCTTCATAGGTCAGAACCATCGCTTTGAATTGTGCCTGCGTTTAGCCAGCAGAGCCAGGGGAGAACGTTCCTTCCCGCTTCGAACTGGCAGACTTCTCGTCTTCTTCTAGGGTCTTGGACAGGAATATTTCTCTCATCTCTTACTCCTGGATCCTTCGGACAAGAGAGCTTGGCAGGCATTCATCCTGGAACCTTCTGCCCACCAGCGGTGGGATCTACCCCCCGCCGATGATCCTAGGATGCATGTCAGCCCTGCCTTCTTGCGAACAAGATCTGTGGCTCTTGAACCCTGGGAGGCCGGCAGCCAAGCCTTCCGCTCCTGAGTCCCTCCACGACAGGCTTTTCAACAAGCAAGAGGGAGAACTGTCATTTCCACGGGGCTCTCTAGGATGTGGTGGGACGTGTATCCCTGCTAACTCAACGTGATGAAAGCTCAGAGGGGTTTCAATCAAGATGATGTCATGTCTGGTCTTCAGCCTGAGGCCTTCTGCAAGCAGAACATCTAGTTTTCCTCTTATCCCTACTAAGCTAGATGGAGCGTGGATCTCCCCCCCCCCCCCCTACAGATGTGCNTTCTTTCATTCCGCACCATCTAAGATGCTTTGCTTACGCTCATGGAGCAAAACCAGACATCTCCATCTCTTGAGTCGGTGCGGGTCCATGTCTTGGCGCGTGTGCCTGCTTCTTTCTGATCTGTCTTTCTTTTCTCCAGGGGCCACACGGTGAAGGCTGTGTGCGAATCGTTCCACTTAGCCAAAGACGCCGGATTCAAGGTGGTGGCGCACATGATGCCGGATCTGCCCAACGTGGGGCTGGAGAGAGACATTGACCAGTTTGTGGTAAGAATTTCCACCCCTCTGCCTCTAAATCTAGTTGCTTCTAGGTGACCCTATTCAGCCATGGCTTTTTCGGTCTCTCATGAATAGCCGTGAGGCCATCTGATGTATGGAGGAGGATTGGGTTTTGGGGGGGTGTTTCTTTAAAGTTGACTCAAGAAATTGCCCTCTGCCCTCCTCTATCAGAGCCTCGTGACGCAGGAGTTAAACTGCGGTCCTGCAGTCAAAACTGCTCATGGGTTTCAATCCCAGGTAGCCGGCTTGAGGTTCGGCTTACCTTTCCATCCTTCCAGTGTCGCTCAAATGAGCATCCAGAATGCGCAGGGGAAGGAAAGCAATGTGTAGCCTGCAGAATTAAATTGTAAGCAGTCCAGAGAGTACTTTATGTGCTATGACGCGGTATATAAGCCACACTACAGTTGGGATATTTGTATTTGTAACGAATATCCTGGAATGTCCAGGATCCTCAGTCTCGCACTCAGAACTAACTCATCCACTTATGCGTCGCCACGCAGCACGTGTAGCCGGCGTCCTGCTCATCAAGCCAATCTCCAGCTAGGCCCAACTGGTGCTTCTCCCCCTTCCCGCTCTTCCGGCTGCTCAGCAGCTGAGCGGGGAGACTGGCCGTCTCTCCCCCTGGGTGGAGTGGCCAGAAGTGCAGGAAGGCGAAGAAGCATCAGCCGGGCTTTGTCAGAGATTGGCCTGACAAGCAGGATGCCAACCCCACCCCCCCGCACTGCATGGCGAACCATAAGTGGACGGGTCAGTTTGGGGAGGTAGGACTGGGGGGATCCCAGCCACCTGGGCCCAGGATATTATCCCATCGCTTCGCTTTTTGCATACAAGAGGCAATTTTGCCATGCTTTGCTGCTTGGTGTTCCTGCTTTTCCCCATCCCCACAACCCAACTTTTTTGCAAAAAAAAATCTTTTTAAAAAGAAATTGGCCACGGGAGGGCATGCAGAGTCTTTTTAGTTGAAAATGAAGGCCCCTTTTAAAAGAAATTCACTTTTGGAGTGAGTAGGTTGGAAGAGAGGGTACACCCCGTCCCAGGTCCAGAGGTGGGCATGTGCCCCCCTCAGACCTCCGTCATCTGCTCTCCCCTCCTGTCTAGGAAAACTAGTTCCCATGAAGGCAGGAAAAAAAGTATATCTTCATTAGTGAGAAGGAGGGAATGCATCTGGAGAGGACAATCAAGATGGTAAAGGGCCTGGAAACCTAGCCCTGTAGGGACTGGTTGAGGGAGTTGGACGTGTTTATCCCGGAGAAGATCAAGTAGGTGTGATGGAAGTGGTAGGAGCAGCTGTCGTGCGGCAGAAGACGGAGCTTGCTTGTTTCCCTGGATTCAGATGATAAGAAAACAGAGTTTGACTAAGAACTTCTTTGACCCAGAAAGGACTACGTACTTGCAAAGGTGGTGGGTTCTCCCTTATTGTAAGTTTTTAAATCAAGGGTCAGGTGGATCATCTGCAGGGTTTCTTGCATCAGCAGAGGGCTGGGCTACTAGATGACCCTCGGGGGGGGGGTCCTTTCAGCTGCGCAGTTCTGTGATTCCTCTAAGAGCAAAAAGCCAAGCAGCTGGGAGGGGGCTTTGGGTCTTATGATTGTACCCCTCTGTGCGATCCAAGCAGTGGTGATAAGAGGGGAACTTACTCCGCAGGCAGTAGTTCCCCAGGACTGGTAGCAGGAGCCGAGGTTGGGATGAAAAGAGTGAGTTTCGGCCACTTCAGTAGTCTTTGCTACCATAGATTAGGTGGATTGTGAATCTTCTAATAAGAGAACAGGTTGCTTGGATGCCCTTTGACTTCTTTAAAGCTTCATTTGTTTTATCATCTCTGCGGGAGATAATGAGAATCTAAAGATAGAGCCCCATTGGTAATCTCTCTCTCTCTCTTTTTCTCGAATTGTCAAGCAGATCGATAGCCATGTCAGTTTCAATATTTTACATGCCGCTGCTGGAAGGATGTGACATCCGGAAAACGGCAGCCCATAGTAATCATCCCTAGCAGAAGAAATGCCTTTGTGTTGTTGTTGGTTTTTTCCCCCTTTCAGAGTGAATTTTCTAGAAGCCTGGGTCTTTTCTCGGGGAAGAGGCCGCCTTTGTGGCTCAGCCTCCGGTTCCTTTGGACGGCCAGCCTTCTGGAAACCCCACCCCTCCCTTCCCCTCGTGTGGAAGGACAATCCAGGCAGACAGTGACGGCAAGGCAGATAAAGGTTATCGGGCAGATTCGATTCAATTCATGCCTTGCCTTTTCCCTGAAACTGAAAGTCGAGGGCAGCTTACAACAAGATGGGAAACAGGTGCCCGTGGAAACATCCAGAACTGTGCAGTGTTGGTGCACAATTAAATTATCATATGGGAACATTATTAAATTAAACATCCATTAAAAACCCATTAATTTAAAAAAGAGAGAGGCAAAGGTACAGCGTTTACCTGTTAAAGGCTCCGTTCTCTATAAGACCCACATGGAAAGAATGCTCTTTGCTTATCAGTAGAAGCAGAGCTGGGGGTGGGTGGGACCGGATACTTGTTTCCCTTAGAATTCAGAAAATTCAGAAACGATTGTTATCTTAACAGCAGCAGCCATTAACAAAAGAAGTTGTCGGATGGCACCACCGACATCCTTTCATTAATTATCCAGTCGGAACATGTCCTATTAAAAAAGGCTTTGTTTCTATTCAAGCTGCAGGAGATTGAGTTGAACGTCTCCATCATTCCATATCAGATCGGAATCTGTGTTTGGGAATCCTTTATTCCACAGTGGCTGGTCCAAGATCACTGATAGACTGAAGCAGGCAGTATCTACAAGCATTTGTGCTGCAGTTCATTTATTATTCTTTTAAGCGCTACAAGACTCTTTCTTGCAAGGTAGTTTCAGCAGACTTGGAGGACTAGCTGCGTTACCCAAATGGGTCCCTGTTCCGTATATCCTGGGGAGAAGGACAAGGAGAGGAGAGAGAGAGAGACCCCAGCCAGATTACTGACAAAAAGACCACACACCAACAATTTTTGGGTTAAGCGCTATTCATGTAACATTTATTGATGAGACCTAAGACATAGGATATAAGACAAAAGGTACCAAGAGGCCTCTCATTCATACTTCCCATTCCCTCAAGACACTTATCCAAAAGACCTTTCTCTGGAGGGTGATCAGTCTTTCCGTAAGAACAATGGGAGCAATTCTTGCAGCGCAGTCGAAGCCCACCTGTCTCTTCCTGGGTCCTCCTTCTTCTAGGCATAGAACTCCCTTGTGGGCAAGCAGGGGGTCAGACTCTGGTTTCCAGGGAAGATACAACCTGTTGCCATGCAGGAACGCTTCCTTTCACGTGTACAGCTTGTTCCATCTGCCACAGACTGGGCTTCAGCTGGCCTGCTTCCTCTTTCTTATCTAGACAGCTGGTCATGGCCTGCCTTCTTCCTTTTTTCTATCTGCACAAGCAAGTCCACATTTGGAATGTTCTTTCCACATCTGCGCTTTCTTACTGATCTCGAAATCCTTGCAATTCTTTGCAGACTTGTATCAGGCTCGCCATCCCGCCTTTCCTTGCGATCTCTCCATCTTCTTCTCAGATCTGGGGTGCTGGTCTTTCTGGAATCCCCACACACTCTGTCTGACTCATAACAGCTGTTTGAAACTGGTTGCAGCAGGAGGCACCGGGTTTTTGACGCGAGATGGGCATGAATTTTAAGAAATTGTACAATGGTGCCTCCAATAGCGATGTTAATTCGTTCCGCAAAAAACATCGCTATTGGAATTCTTCGCTATTCAAAACGTGGTTTCCCATTGAAATGCATTGAAAGCCGGCTACTCCGTTCCAATAGGAACGAATTGCTATCACTATTCAAAAATCTACATGGGAAACCTCGCTAATCAAAATGCGGTTCCCCCATTGAAATGCATTGAAACCTATTCAATGCATCTCAATGGGGGAAAAACAACAATAAATTAAAAAAGAGAACAAAGCCAGCCAGTGAGGGAGCGAGGAAGGAGGAGGAAGCCAGCCAGCCAGCCCAGAAGGAGCGTCAGGGCCACCTGCCCGCCCGTCCCTGCCTGCCGGGGGGGAACGCCCGGCGGGTCCCTTTGTCCTTCTCCTCCCTCAACCCCCAGTGCCGCCAGGCTTCATCTTCTTCTCAGATCTGGGGTGCTGGTCTTTCTGGAATCCCCCCGCACTGTATCTGACTCATAACAGCTGTTTGAAACTGGTTGCAGCAGGAGGCACCGGGTTTTGGACACGAGATGGGCATGAATTTTAAGAAATGGTATTTTGTTGTGATTCATGATGCATCAAGGTCAATGAATTGCATTTTTTTCTGATGAATCAATCCATCAATTTGTTTTTGACTTTAAAACTCTATAAAGTGTATGCACACACATACACACATGCACCTAGAGACACCAAATTTGCATGCAGGCTTCCCCTGACACTCCTCTACAAGCCCTGCAGGTTTATTGAAGTTTGAGTTTCGGACGTCCGAGTTAGACCCCCACAAAGAGGGCCTCCCCAGGAAAGTTTCCCCCAGGCACCTGGAGATGCTAAAATCACCGAGATGCTTCTACTGACTCCCCTTTTCAATCCCTGTGAGTTTGATGAAGATAGGGTTTCGGACGGAGGCTTCCCCTGACGCTCCTCTACAAGCCCTGCAGGTTTATTGAAGTTTGAGTTTCGGACGTCCGAGTTAGACCCCCACAAAGAGGGCCTCCCCAGGAAAGTTTCCCCCAGGCACCTGGAGATGCTAAAATCACCGAGATGCTTCTACTGACTCCCCTTTTCAATCCCTGTGAGTTTGATGAAGATAGGGTTTCGGACGTGCAAGGTATACACCCACAAAGTGGGTTCCCCCCCCCCAGGAAATTGACCTTTAGCAGCCAGCCTGGGGAAATCCAATCTTCACTGAACTTGGAGGGATTGTAGAGGAGAGTCAGTAGAATCTTCCCTGTGAATATGGTCTCTCTCGGTGCCTTGGAGGGTGTGTGTGTTGTGTAGCCAAACGAATCAAAAATT